ACAACTCTCTCAGCCTGTCCTCACAGCAGAGCTGCTCCAGCCCTCGCATCATCCTCTTGGCCTCCTCTAGACTCGTTTCTAACTGGTCATGGAGGTCCCCATGCCAGAGCTGGGAGGTCCATGACTCCACGGGCAGTCGTGTTGGAACACTTTGTTCCCGGACTCTTGCAGCCCACGGGAGGGATCTCATGCCAGGAAGAGCAGCAGAGGTGACCTGACTGAACCCCCATTCCCTGTCCCCTGTGCTGCTGGGGGGGAAGGGAGAGAAATGGGGAGCAAAGAGATTGGAGCCCGGGGAGAAGGGAGGGGTGGGGGAAGGTGCTGTCAGATGTGGTTGTTGTGTCCCACTGTCCTACTCTGATTGATTGGGAATGAATTAAATGGCTTTTTCTTCCCCAAGTGGAGTCTGTTTTGCCTGTGACCATCACTGGTGAGTGAGCCCTCCCTGTCCTCATCCCAACCCACCAGCCCTTTGGTGTGTTTCTCTCCCCATCTCCCTATGAGTGAGTGAAGGACCGCATGGTCTGAGCTGAGGCTGAAACCACATCAGTTACATATGTAGAATACAACTATCACACAGAGTTTTTTCTTGTATAAGAATTCAAGAAAATCCTTAACAAAAGCACCCTATTTCTCCCACAGAGCAAATAGTATAAGGAAGGGCAGGACTTTGTCTCCAGGAAATCTCAGCTATTACTGATAAAAAAAAAATTAAAAAAATAATAAAAAAAATAATTCACTTCATAATGAAATTAAGTGAAAATAATTTAAAACAGTATATTTCAGTCTATGTCTGCATTTAACTGGGAAAAAAAAATTAAAAAAATAATAAAAAAAATAATTCACTTCATAATGAAATTAAGTGAAAATAATTTAAAACAGTATATTTCAGTCTATGTCTGCATTTAACTGGGAAAAAAAAATTAAAAAAATAATAAAAAAAATAATTCACTTCATAATGAAATTAAGTGAAAATAATTTAAAACAGTATATTTCAGTCTATGTCTGCATTTAACTGGGATGAAGAAAAAAACCCAATAAATTATAATAATTCACCCCTGATACTTAAAGGTTTTTTTCACAGAATCATTAGGATTATAGTTTAAGAGCAGACAAGTGACTTCAAAATGCAGCTGAAATGGCACTAGTTATTTCAGAATTATATTTTTAAATACTGAAGGTAACTATATTTACTATCTTTCTTTGTAACATCCTTCACTCACAAATGGTAAAAAAGGAGAAAATAAAAATAAAAGGAACAGTTGAAAATAAAAATAAAAGGAACACGTTAAAAATTTCCAGGAAAAGAATTTCTGTCTTTCATTTTCATATGTCACACTTTCTGTATAAAGCAGAGTTAAAAAGACAGTGTCTTCTTTACTGAGTTCTACATAAATGTCTTGAACTTGACATGCAATATTTTACTAAGCAAATGACAAAAGCACTTCCTGGTAATGATTTATCTCATCTTTAAATGACTGTGCTTTTCTACGTCATTTCTACAGAGACATTTGCCTGCAATAATGGATATTTCAAAATAGTAAATTCCAATAATATTTATGTAAAAATAATGCTGACCTTATGCTTCTAATTAGTCAGAGAGCTGGCAACCAGTAAAACCCATTTTGTAAAAGGGAAGCACAGTAAACTTAACCTCACACCTCATAAAAAGCTTTGTAGTCATCCCAGTGGTGGCTCTCAGCATCCTGTAAAATGCTTGTAGCACAAACTCTGACGCAGTAGTTCGTAACTTGAAACTGGAGAACGTTGATGAATTCCTGGTATTGTTGGACAGGCAGGAGGAACAGGGGTCTGTTCAGAGAGAATGATCAAAGAGGCAAAGATTGAAAGGCTGTGCAGTAGGAGGTAACAATCCCCAGTACTGCAAATGGTTTTGATTATTAGGTATCAATCATTCATTTCCTCTCGGTCCTGGAGATTGAACCTGGCATTCACTTTTGAAAAATATCTGGTCTTTGTTTCACAAGTTCTTTAAATATACTTGTTCATCTATAAATTCTCATTTAAGCAAGTTGCTGAGAAATACATTACTTCATCCTATTTTCTGAGATAAAAGCACATTTGTCATTCAGTTATTGGGAGCATAATTGCATTAGCACTGAGTGTGATAAAGAAAACATGAACTTAAGAGACCAGAGACTGGTTTTGGTAGGTATGTACTAAAACTCTTTCATAATACACACAAGCAGAATTACTGAGCAATATTTTGGCTTAGACTTCCCATTCACAAAGATACACTTCATGCAGGAGAAAGTAAAACATCAGAAGGAAAGTAGCTCAACAGTGCATACAAACCCTTAGAAATCACATGTTCATTGAAAATTGCGCTAGTTCAAAGGTCCCTCCCAAAAGGCCTAGTTTTTACTTTTAAATTACATGTGACCAGAAACACATGGACCAATAAAGAGATTCTGAGTAACTTAAGTCAAAATCTCCTAAAACCACTGCAAATGTAGACATATTGCCCACTGGGTCAAACACTGTCTTAGACTTTACACTACTACTTCACATCTTCTCTAATTTTTATTCTGCATGCAATGAAAAATAAATTCTAGAACTACGCTGGATGTATTTGTTCACATTTCTGAATGCAGATGGTGTAAGGAAAAAGCACAGGAATGTATATTTATGCTGTCCTCTAAGAATGCTATGTGCTAAATTAGATTTTATGAAAATTCAGCTATTACCAAGGTCAGAAAAGGAAATTAAGGCCTTAGCTCTCTATCTATATGAGAGCAGAGTACATTCAGTTCACTGGACAGTCCTATTTACTCAAGCTTAATAAGTAAAAAATACTGATCTGAAAATCAAATGCAGATCTTAAACATAAATAATTTGTTCTGTAATGGCTGCTTTAGATTATCAATAGTTTTGATTCAGGTATTTCCATAAATAGTACATGCAGCGCGTGCGCTAAAAAAATATGACGCCATTTGGAAAACTACCACTGTACAGTATCACCAAAATGGAATGACGTCCTATATTATTTATATTACAAGAATTTATATTACTCACTTTTTGCTCGTTTCTCTCATTGAACTGCTATACATTGTAAGATGCTGAAAGACATATATTGCTGTGGAAAGGGCAGCGTACATGTCTTGCAGGGGAGCCTTGGAGGGAACATCATTGCTCCTCTCCTCTAGTCTTGCCAGGACAGCTGTTGCCACTTTGCTGCAGGCCTCTACAAAGTTTGCTCTAATTTCCTGAAGAGAATCATCTCTGCATGCCAGAGCCAATGGAAGCAATGTGTCAAGTTCTTCCACGATGTCAGAACAAAACTGAGAGAAATAAATGTGGCATCAAGTTATTTGTATTCTGACAGCACTGTTTAATTTATACACACAAGGGTCAGATTCTTGAATAATGAAATTGGCATAAAACATAAACATATTAAATCAGCTTTACAAACATTTCGTTCTGTTATACAGGGGAGAAACGTTTATCTACAGTAAATGAATTATTATTTTATTCTTTCTTGCTTTAAAGCTGCATAATATATATTGGGGAAAAAAATAAAAACTATCTTATGCCAGTAATTCCTTCATTTTGTTTATGATTTCATTAGATGTACATTCAAATCATAAGGTTAATTCCTTGTAAACAAAGATAATTTTCTAAACTAATTTATTTTGAAAAACATACAAACACATTTCTTAATACTGAAATTGAAAAAAATCTCATAATCTCTTAGTAAATTCACACAAAATTATCTCCCAAAAGCTTATATGTTATTTTAAGCAAACATTCATTAACAGCTTTCCAAATTTGCTGCAATAGTTGCAAAGCTTACTAAATAAAAAAACTCTGAGACACATATTCCCTTAGAAAAACAATTTAATTAATCATCATAAATGACCTTTCAGCCAAATCAAAGATCTCTAATTTAGCCTTATTATTGGTTATGCTGATTAGTTAAATGGCATGTCTAAGGGTATGAATACAGGAAATCCCTTTATAGCTATGCTTCAAAGCTTTCAGCATTTTCCCATCGAACCACTTGCTCACAGAGCAGATAATAATCAGAATGTTTTAGAACTTTTTGGATAAAACAAAAAAAAAAATAATGCCAGTGAAGTTTTAAAGTTAATTATTTCAAGTAGAGACTATGGGCTATTGTACAAAGCTCTGTTCAGCCTCATATTGTAATGCCTCTCACTTTCTTCTTAATTCCATTTATATAAGATATAGAATATTAATGGTACTGTAGGTACTTCAAAGTGTAGATGGCAAACAGCCTTGGCATTCTGTCTCCCCTCAAACTTCAGTTCTTTTGATACCTGCCTTAGCAATTCGTTTTGGTTGCTCCTCCTGTTGGACTGCTCCACAGGACTCCCTCATTTGCTGGTTGTTTACAAGACTCATTGCATTGCCTGCAGCTGAAAACTCTTCTTTCTGCTCATGTTGAAGAATTTTAGTTGAAAAATCCTCGACTGCTATTGTTATACAGTGAGCCACAGAAGAAGACAGGTCTTTAAATGCATTTCTCCAGCCAAAATTCAGTGAAATAGGCTGAAATACATATTTATATTAAATCAATCCAAATTCATTATTGTGTGTTATTACTGACTGAAACTTACATGAACATCCATAATTACAATAAAGGACACCATCATCCTTTGAAATTCAATTTAGTAACTTAAAATATAGTCTGTTAGCTTTGAAATCATATTAAAAGCAGTATGTAACTCAACAAAAATTAACATGCATAAAAATATTGTTTCTCACCAAATTTTTAAGAAATAAACTTACAAAAAGCTCTCTTTAAACAAGACTGCTTTCTAAAAGCCATGCTTCATGTTTCCATTATTTATAATCTTTAACTGAATTTATTTAACAATGTCAAATACATTTATAATCATTTTCAATAGTTTAACAAGTAACCCAGCAATGGACACCCTGTAATAATTTTCACAAGGTAACAAATGGAAGCTACTAACCATGAATATTAATGGCAAACATTTAGAGAAGCTGGTTATAACACAGCCACATTGGATTTCACTTCTCTTGAGGTGGATTCAGTAAAGATTAAAATGTTTAAATAGAGATTTCTAGTTTTTAGCTAATGATGGCTTTTACTATGGTTTACATCAGTTCCCTGTCTTCTACAGAGAGTTCTGAGGTTATCATCTGAAGCATAATGGTTGCAAGAAGTAGACTTTTACTTTTCTTCGACTAATCTTGTTTTATATTGCTCATATGGCACACAGCAGACTTAAACCTTACCAGAAGTGGCCAATTGAGGATTGCACCACTGTAAGAGAAATATTTTAATGGTGTAAGATGTACAAGTAAAGATCCCCACTATGAGGGTGTAGCAGGAGAAAAGAAAAGAAGGATTCCTAACAAGATGCAGCTATAAGACTAAATTGGAAGACAATGAAGGGCTATGAAGTGGAGCCCTTCCAGCTTACTCCAATTTAGAAGTTACATCCTCCTTCCTTTCCCCTTCCCCACTCCCAACATTCAGCTCCAGTGAACACGAAACAGCCCTCATGGACACTCATCTTTGCACTTCCTCTTTTTTAAAAATTTATTTATTTTTTTTATTTGGGATCAAGTAAAGCTCAATCTTCTCAAAATACTGCTCTTCGTGATCTAAAAGATATAGGAACATTAGCCTCACAAACTGATTCAAAGCACATTTTAAAAAAATCATTTCAGCATTAAAATTGAGCCATTAGGAAATTAAATTCCACTGCTGCAAAATATCGGACTTATTGAGAGCATTTAGGTCCCATAAACTCAACAATATAAATTTGTTTGGTAGTAAATGGAAGCCAGGCTAAAATTTAATCTTGTACATACATTATACAAAGCATAGTCCTTACCACACAGTAGTTTGTTGGCATCAAAGAAACTGGACATGGTGTGAGTACTTATCCCTATAGGAAGCATCATTATGATCAAATGCTAAGATGTTGATAGATTTTTTTAAGATTCTGCTGTATTTGAGGATGAATTTAACACTGAAGAAAGCTATTTTATTTTAGCATTTTTTTCTACTGTTATTGTTAACAGGTATCTTATACTTCTGAAATTAAATCTGTTCTGTTATTAAATCTTAAATAACAACCATTTCTTCATGAATGCCGTAAGATTCTTCTCCATCTTAACTGAGACTTTGCACCTAAAATTAATTGCAGTAGCTAAATAATGAAGCTATGGCAATAGGTGTTTATAATGAACATGGTAACAGACTACACTGGAGACACAGACAAAAGAAAATCCCCTACAAAGTGCAAGACTCTTTTCATACTCACCTCTTCTACCTGAAGTAACTGTTCAGGAAGCACACTGGTTTCATTTGCTCTAGTTTCTCCTATTAAAAGCTCCCCACTAGCTTTCTTCAGAACTCCTGCACAGTATGATAAAAGGGATCAAAGTTAAGATTAATTCTGTAGAAAAGTCAGCAGCCTCCAACACCTTCTGATATATCAATACGAAGCATAAAAAACCCCTCAACAAGATGTAGTGGAATACTAATGTTATGATAAAGTCAAATTCAGGTTATACACAGCTCCTTTTATATAACATGATGAAATCCACATCCCATTGTATTAATATTTTATAGAAACGCACATATAATGTGTAAAATATAGTTTCTTTTGTCATTAATTCATTTTTATACTGATTGTATAGTCACCTATTCCTAGGGAGAACAGATAACGTTAGAACAGCTGTGTAGAAATTAATTTCTGTTCTTTGTTCAATAAATTATATGAATTGCACACTAATGTATTTTTATAGTTTTTACTTATTTGGAAACGCCAATATGCTAAGAATAAAAAGACAGTTAATTAGTACAGTTATTATAAGCAAAATAATGGTGACAGGAAAAAGAACAAGTGAAGCTCCTTAAGAAGGGCTGGTATAAAGCTCACTCATAAATCTTAAAGTAATGGGAATATTGCCCCAGTTTTGACAAGGACAAACTAGTATCTAGGTGATACCACTTTCATCAGCGTTTCAAGCAATCCAGGAGGTTCCTGGAGTGCACTGATGATCCAGGTGCTCCGCTGGATCTCACACTCAACAAAAAGGAGGAGCTTGTTGGGAATGTGAAGGAGAAAGGCAGCCTTGGCCGCAGTGAGCATGAGATGATGGAGTTTAGGATGCCAAGAGCAGGGAGAAGAGTGAAAAGCAAGGTCACAATCCTGCACTTCAGGAGAGCAGACTTTAGCCTCTTCAAAGATCTGCTTCAAGAGTTCCATGGGATAGGGCTCTCGAGAGAAATGAGGCTCAAGAAAGCTGGTTATTATTCAAGGATCACCTCCTCCAAGCTCAAGAGAGTTGGGAAAAAAATGCCAGGGGCCTGCATGGATGAACAAGGAGCTCCAACCTAACTCAAACACAAAACGAAGCATACAAAGGGTGGAAGCAAGGACGGGTAACCTGGGAGGAACACAGAAACAATGAGCATCCAGGCACAAAGTAAGGAAAGCTAAAGCCCAAACTAAATCTGCTCAAGGATATCAAAGACAAGAAAGGTTTCTGCAAGTACAAAGGAAACAAATGGAAGACTGAGGAAAATGTAGGGTCATTGCACAACAAGATGGGGGACCTGGTTACACAGACATGGAAAAGACTAAGGTAATGAAAGCCTTCTTTGCCTCAGCCTTCAGGAAACCCAGGCCCCAGCAACCAGGGGTTAAGGTTGGAGCAGGGATGACAGAGTCTTGGTGGAAGAGGATCAGGTCTGGGAACACTTAAGCAAATTGGACATACGTAAGTCCGTGGGTCCTGATGGGATGCACTCACAAGGGCTGAGAGAGCAGGCAGATATCATTGCAAGGGCACGCTCGAGAATCTTTGTTCAATCATGGCAACTGGGAGAAGTGTCCAAAAACTGGGGAAAGCAAATGTCACTCCTATCTTCAAAAAGGGTAAGAAGGAGGACTCAGGGATTCACAAGCCAGTCAATCTCACCTCAGTGCCTGGGAAAGTGGTGAGGCAGCTAATCCTGGAAACAATTTCAAGGCACATTACAGAAAAAAAAAATTATCAGGAATACTTGAGTATTCATGGGTTCACCAAGGGGAAGTCATGCTTGACCAACTTGATAAACTTCTATGAAGAAATGACTGGCCTAGTAGATGAGGGGAGAGCAGTGGATATTGCCTACCTGGACTTCAGTAAGGCCTTTGACACTGTCTCCCATAACATCCTGTCATGGGACAAGCTGAAGAAAAGCTTTTGATGTATGGGTCAGAAAAGCAGAAAGGGAGGTAGGCTGAAAACTGTCTGAAAAGCCAAGCTCAAAGCATGGTGATCAGTGGCGTGAAGTCTAGTTGGAGGCCAGTAACTAGTGATCTATCTCAGGGGTTGGTCCTGGTCCAGTCCTGTTTAACTTCTTCATTAATGATCTGGATGGTGGGACTGAGTGTACCCTCAGAAAGTTTGCACATGACACCAAACTGAGAGGAGAGGCTGATATATCAAAGGGTCATGCTGCCATCCAGAGGGACCTAAACAAACTGGAGAAATGGGCACATGAAAGTTCCAGCAGAGCTAAGTGCAAAGTCCTGCCTGTCCCTGGGGAGGAACAACTCCAGGCATCAATATATACTGGAGGCCACCCAGCTGGAAAGCTGCTTTGCAGAAAAGGACCTCGGGGTCCAGGAGGACAACAAGTTGAACATGAGTCAGCAATGTGCCCTTGCTGCTGTCCTGGTTTTCGGCTAGGACAGAGCTAATTTTCTTTTTAGTAGCTAGAATAGTGCTGTGTTTTGGTTTTGGTATGGGACCTGTTATGAGAAGAATGTTGATAACATACTAATGTTTTCAGTTGTTGCAGGAGAACGAAGGACTTCCCATCTTCCCTGTGTGTTGCTAGTCTGCAGGTGCAGAGGACTTGGGGGGCATAGTAAAATTAGTAAACCCAAACTGGCATTTGGCTGTGCCAATGGGATATTCCATATCACATAATGTCATGATCAGTATATTAATGAGGGTCTCTTGGGCTCTTGCTCTTCCAGGATTGTGGTTTCGGTTTCGGGATTGTTACTCCTCCAGGATTGTTATCCAGGAAGGGGCTGAGTTTGGTTGGCACGTGGTGAGCAATTGCTCCGTGCATCACTCATTTGTATATTCTATTATTACTGTTATTACCATTATTATTGTCATTATTATTTAAAATTTTATTTTATTTCAATTATTAAATTATTCCACAGCTGCACTATGAGTCTCCTTACATTTACACCTCCGATTCTCTCTCCTATTCCCTGGGGGAGACAGGAAGAGTGAGTGACCGGCTGCGTGGTGTTTGGCTGCCAGCCAAGTGAAACCACCACAGCTGCAAAGAAGGCTAACAGTGTCCTGGGCTTCATTAGACAAAGTATTGCCAGCAGGTCAAAGGACTTGATCCTTCCCCTCTACTCAGCACTGGTGAGGCCACAGCTGGAGTATTGTGTCCAGTTCTGGGCTACTCAGTACAAAAGAGACATGGACATGCTGCAGAGCGTCCAACTGTGGTGGTTTGGGTGGATTCACCCTTTTTAACTCTATCCTAGCAAAACCAGGACACCAACAAAGGGTCACGATGATGATGAAGGGACTGGAGCATCTCACATGTCAGGAAAAGATGAGAGTACTAGGACTGTTTATCCTAAAGACAAGAAGTTTTTTGGGGGTGGATCTCATTCATGTATATAAATACCTGAAGAGAGAGTGCAAAGAGGACAGAGCCATGCTCTTCTCAGTGGTGCCCAGTGACAGGGCAAGAGGCAACGGGCACAGATGGAAACACAGGAGGTTCCCTCTGAACATCACAGAACACTTTTTGACTTCGAGGGTGACTAAGCACTGGAACAGGTTGTCCAGAGAGGCCATAGAGCCTCCATCCTTGCAGGTTGTCCAGAGAGGCTATCTCCTTGGAGACACTCAAAAGCTGTCTGGATGTGACCCTGGGCAACTAGCTGTACATGGCCCTGCTTGAGCAGGAGATGTTAGACCAGATGACTTCCAAAGGTGCCTTCCAAACTCAATCATTCTGTGATTCTGTGAGTCAGTGTTTCAAAAGTAATACGAGAATAAAAACAAACAATATGGTATTTTTAAAATCCATCTCCTACCATAAAGCTGGTAAACAACACAGGTGCAGATATTCCTTATTTAATGTAACTTATGTGAAATTAAAACCAAGGTGTTTTAAATGACTGGGTGCTGTCAGGCTTTATTAAGTATTATCTTCTAAGCATAAACTTAAAGGTCTTCAGTCACCTGAAGCTACTGGTGGTACACAGGGTCAAGATTTAAAGAGCTTTTCTCTTTCTATGAAATACCCAGTATTTGCACATACATAGGACTTAATTTACCCAAAGTGGATTTTATTTTTCTCCTAAACAATTCACTCTCTGAAAATAAACACTCTGCTTCTCATACACCTGTACAGCATTCTAAAGCTTCAAGGTCTTTGTGGTTTCTTTCCCCAAGAACTGTTCTGTTTGCATTTTCAAAAGACATGATGGAAAAACAGATTTGAGCTGGGAAAAATTAAAGATAAAACGACAGAATATAAAACCAGAAGAGACTAACCAGGTCATTTAGCTCCCTGATCATTCAAAACATGGTGTTACAGACAGCACCATAAACTTACTGCTTTTTTCTGTATGTTTTAATGTATTTTATGATGAAGTTTCCTACAGTTTTCTTTAGAAATCACTCCCGAATAAAAGAAAACTAGCTGACTGGATTTTTTCCCTCCTTTCTATTCTGTGCTTTCTACCTTAATTTGCCTCGTTTTCCCTTGCAATTCTCCTTTTTTACAGATATAATGTCTGACTCTTAATTATAAGCACAATCAAATACCGATAGATTACTTTATCTTATTGTCACTATTTAGATCAGCTATTTATAACTTTTTATATAAAGACTTTAACATTTAACCTAAAATCCCTGTGTATTCATGGAATTGCTGCCTTACCTGTTAAGAACTCAGAGGTGAGATAAATAGGTATCTAGCTGATGGTAGAGTTCCATCTCCAGGACCAGAGGTGAAGAGCCAAATTATGTTTCTGCCAGTATCAGTCATTTTTAAAGTTCCTTCATTTTTAATTCAACAGGTTCTTACTAGATCTCCCCAACTGCTTTTCTAACTAACAGCCTGGGCACTCTTGCCCTACATTCATATATAGCTACCTATGTGCATGCAGGCTCATACACATATAAAACCTTTGCTGGTCTTCTCAAAGAAGCCCCCAGGTTAAGTCTCTTCCCTTTTACTGAGTTCCTTTGGTTTCCCAAATTTTTGCTTTTCCCAAATCTCATCTATGCAAAGTTGGTCTCAATCTTCTTCAATTTAGCCTCTGGCTAGCAAGGGCTTCCTTCACACTTTTCATTGATTATTACACACTAGAC